TATCGTAAAATAATTACTACGACAAAGTCGGTCTAATATATCCGTAATATTAGGTAATGGATATCTATCATCAATAGTTTTTTCGTTTATCTTTCGATAATCAACGACCATTCTCCATTTTTGTATGCCTGCGGCATCTTTTTTCTTAGGTACCTACTATCCACACAGGGGATGACCAAGGGCTACAGGATGGTCTCATTATGTTACCTTCCAACATTTTCTTTATTTGAAAATTTACTTCTTGTTTATGCACATGTGGGTATCTATACGTTTTCGTGTGCACTGGTATTTCATCTGTTGTTTTAATCTCATGTTTGAGTTGATTAGTGAATGTCAATTTTTCATTTGGCTTGTGGAAAATTTTAGGAAAAGATTTAAGGCGTTTTCTCGTGTCCACTTTTTTGAAACCGGTTTAAAACTGTTTTGAAAAACTACATTCTCGCGATAAACACATGACGTCACGTCAAAATTGGTTCAAACCGTTTCGAAATACAATCCAATCCACGTTTTCAAACCATTTTCTCGCGCCGATAAATTATGACGTCATGGTGACATTACTTAAACCAGTTTTGAAAAATGTTTTGGACCATTTGAGACGCGAGAAAACGCCTCAAATTACGTGTTTTAAAGCATCAAATTCCTCTGAGTTTAAATGATTAATACGCAGCGACTTAATAGGGTCATTTGCATATTCATCATTTTCTAATAAAGTTTTTTGCTCTATATTAAATATCTCAAACTGTTCGTCAGCATAAGGTAAACTTATTTCCGCTAAGTTGTTTATGTTATACGGGACAATAATAGGCTTATTCATTAAATTATGCACTTCTAGAGCTACTGTCTCGTTTATAACTGTGGCTATTGTCGAAGGAATATAATACGTTTCATTTTTTATCGGTGGTGTAAGTATTTCAATGCCATCAGCTATATTTGTATTGAACTCAATTTAAGTAGAGTTGCTTGGAATCTCAAAATTTTGATTTTCGAAATCTGTTCTATATTGAAACGGAATTGTGGTTTTATTATTAGAAAGAAGCATATTAGAAAAATCTATATTTAAATTATTTTCTTGTAATGCTTTGATTCCGATAATTCCATCAAAACAGTCATGGAAATTATACATTATCATTTCGATGTTGTTTTGAATATTATATTCTTGTAAAATTGGGACATTGATTTTTTCATGTGTTTTTCTTGTACCCATGCAAGTAGTTAACTTGTTTCGTGAATTAATTATAGAATTTGAAAAATATTCTTCTGCGATTGAGGTTCTTATTAAAGAGGCATGACTTCCTGTGTCAATTAATAATTTACACGGTGGATAGTCTATTTGAATAAGAGACAGTTGGTTGATTTGATAAGCATTTAAAGTTAATGCTGACTCATTGCATCCAAGGCTTGTAACTGAACATTTTCGTCTTCAGTTGCGACTTGATTTTCTTCAAAATTTGTCACTTCATAATAATTTTGATTTTCAGAACATTCGTCATTTTCGAAATTTTCGTCAGGGTCAGGCAATTCAATTTCGAAGATATTATTAATTTCTTCGATTGTATATTTGGAAGGGAAAAATGTTGATTTTGTGCTCTTGGTTGCACTGAAACTCCGGACATAGGTGTGGGTTTCGAAAATTGTTGATTAGTTTTTTCGAAAGGCATTATTATAGTTTTTGCCAAAAGTTCCTGAACTATAGTTGGGCCACCGAACAGAGATAGTAATAAAACCGAGCATTCAACCTCTAAGGGGCTTGACAGGCAATAGACGAGAGGATTTATAGCAAATTTATACCTTATTATAATAAATAAAATTTATTAAATTCATGAATTCATATTTTATGAGGCAATATGCATAAAGGGGTTTATTTGACATTCACATTCCAATTACTAAATTATTTTGAGTTAAAATAATAAATGAAAGACAAACAACATCAGTTTCAAATGCGCTCCACTATGAAAATGTCTGCTTTAAGAGGGTGTCGAGATTATTTATGGGGGCCAGTTACCAGATAATCGTTTTATCACTATCTCTGTACGGTGGCCCGACTATAGTAGGAAATTTTGTTGGTATACCTACGTTTCCGTCGGAATTTCGCCTGCCGATGCCGGTTATTATTATTTACTAACTTACTGTCACTAGAAATCTGCAAACTTGTTTTAACACTTCCTTATTAGAAAAAACAAAAAAATCTGAATTAATATTGCCATATTCAAAACAAAATCAAATGCGATCCTGAACGGGGCTGCCATAAATTATTTTTCCTGTTGCTTTTATCAATATAAGGGGTGTAAGCACGTGGCCCAACAAAGAGGCAGATGATTTATTGCATTTTACGACTTTTCTTAGATCTCTGAATAAACTATACATAGTCCTTTTTAGGTTGTATATTAATAGGTTGGGATGGAAACTGTGGTTTCTGTGGTATATACGATGTTTTTTGTGTATATTGAGGTTTTTGTTGAGTATAGGTTTGTTGTGAACGAAATTGCGTATTTTTATTTTTGAAATTTGAAAAATTTTGATTTTGATTTTGATTAGTAGAATGAGTAAGTCCTCTACTAAATTTCATGTGGCTTTCAGCTAGTTGATAATTTAACACAAATTTGTTAGCTGCATCCAACGTTTGTGGATTTTGAACCATTAAAATTGTTCTTAATTCGGTTGGTGAATTAGTGAATAGATTTTGAATAGCAATAATTTCGTTTTGTTCAATTAAGACATTTGCAACTACCGTTAAATTCGGGTCGCACATGATTTTAGATGTAATTCTTTGAACTAAACCTTTTAGTTTATCCAAATACTCAATAATAGTTTCTTTATTAGTTTTAGTGGTATACATAAGCTCTTGTACCAAATTCTGTCTAGAATATTCATCACCATACTTAATTCTCAACGCTTCTCTTATATCGGTCCATGTTTGTAAATCAGGACGTGCCATAACCCGGCCCGAAGGGCCGGAGTTATACGCGAACCCGGCCCGAAGGGCCGGAGTTATACGCGAACCCGGCCCGAAGGGCCGGAGTTATACGCGAACCCGGCCCGAAGGGCCGGAGTTATACGCGAACCCGGCCCGAAGGGCCGGAGTTATACGCGAACCCGGCCCGAAGGGCCGGAGTTATACGCCAACCCGGCCCGAAGTGCCGGAGTTACACACGAGCCCGATGGGCCGGAGTTATACGCGAGTTCGAAGGGCCGGAGTTATACGCGAGTTCGAACGGCTAGAGTTATTTTAATCACGGGACTCAGTTTATAATTTTATTGGTCAACGAATAATTTGGAGCCAATCAAAAACCGAGAATATTCAAAATGCGATTTTTAGCGTCCGATCAAAGAGCCGGGAATATTCGAAAACTTTACTTTTATCAAATTGACTTTGGAATTTTGGTTTTCTCAAGATTTTTACTTTTTTCAGAAAACGGTGATTTTTGCAAACATATACTACTTTATCGTTGTCTTTGTCTTACTCATTCCTGCGTCATTTATTAATTTTGATTTTATGGAGGTAACCACATACTCTTTCTGGGCATTTTCACCAGTATAATAGGTTCGATAGAATTCATTGATGTTTCTTATGAAATATTCTAAATATTGGCTTTCGCCACTGAAAGGTTTGATCAGTTGAACGATTGATTTTAAATTTTCACTCACTGTTACGGTTGGTCTTTGATTTTGGTTGTTACTTCTCGAATTAGAATTGTAAAGATAAGTTAAATTAAATTGAGTCAAGAGATTCTCGATTTCTTCTTCAGAATCTGACATATATATTTTTTTGAATTGTTAAAAGAAATTATTTTGAAAATTTAAAAAAATTCAAATTTGAAAAGTTTTATTAAAACTAAAATTATAATTAATTAATCAGTCTTGTGCGTTACTTTTCTTTAAAATTATTTATTACTTTGGGTTTGTAAATTCTTAGTTACCTACTTTTTATTTTTGATTTCAGTCTTTTCAGCAAACCTTTTTGGAATTGCAAAAGAACAAAAATCTGAATTTAAGTCTCAGTAAATCAAAAATTAGAAATTACAAAAGATCAAAAATCCAAAAATCTTAACTATGGAACACCAATTACAAAATGTATAAAGAGAAAGGATGTACTTACTAGGCAAGGCTAATAACAGTAGTCTTTCTTCACACGTTGCTTCTTGTTATTCCTTTTACTCAGTTAACCATGATTCGAAGTGGACAGTATCTGGAACGTTTAATAGCAGCACTGATAATCCAAATTTCACTTTCCCGAAGAATTCACTTTTTCGAACTTCCTTCAGTTTTTTTGAAATTTTCGTGACGGGTTACGACTGTATCAACTCTCCCGAAACTTAAGCACTCTGAGCATCCAAAAGACTGCGCCAATTATATTTTCGATTCAGAAACTTGTATTTTAAAAAACATTTATTTTATTGATTAAAATACAGAGGTGACAAAAGAAAATATGTGGATCAAATTGCTACAGCAAAAGCCTGAAAACAAATGAACGTTCCTTATGGGACTGCGCTGGCCTAAATAAGAATTTAATGCCGACATAGCAATTTGATGTTTACAACAATGTATTTAAAAAGTCATAGAGAAAAGGGGACAAAGGGGTAAGGACATTAAAGCATATAAAAAATAGATGTGTGGCAATTGGTTAATATAACTCCTGTACCTAATTACGGCAGGTTTGTGTCAAAATATAGTGACTCATCCTGTACCTACCCATATTTTTTTTCATTGAGTGCGGAAACTTATCTATTCCTGAACGCGTTTCTGATATTGTAAAATTTATTTATAATATTTTGCACGTGAACTAGAGCAAATTATTTCCACCCTGGTAATAAAAACCCATATTCAATAGTGAACGTTTTATGGAGTTTTAATTTCACTGGAAGCCAATCCAATAAATTATTAAAGCGACAGTCGGGTGTAAGCCGGAAATCTCTACCTCTTTCAGTTTCAAAGTAGTCAGTTTTTTCCTGAACAAAAATCCTCAATCCAACAAAAATAAATAATAATTTTTTCTCTACTAGGACAGAGATGAACAAAGACGACTCGAAATGATTCACCGAAAAGAAGAAGATGACTTATATAGAAAATTTGCTCGGCAAAGGGAGGAAGAAGAACGACGAATAAGGGACGAAATTAGGGACGAATGGGAAAAAGAACTAGAAAGGCTCACCGATCGATTTGAAAGAGAAATGCAGGTGAAACGAAAAAGAGACGACCAAAACATACTGACGTTACGACATCAACAAGAAAGAGACGATTTAGAGAAAAATATGACTTTAAGAAGGGACAAAAAGAAGGAATCTCTTACAAGGAAAATGTTAGAGCACGAAAGGTAAGCTGAAACATTTATCGAAATTCTAATTCCCACGCCTCTGCCACGTTTGCGCTTCTACAAATAAAATATCGATAAAACAAATTGAAGGATTTTACATAAATATTTTTATAACTTTTACCTCATGTGGGATGGCTGATGTAAGTAAATACAATGCCACCATAAAAAAATCGTTTGTTGTTTACATAATAGTAGCGCCTTTTCAATTATGTAGGTGGTGTAATTAAAATACATAGATATAATCATAATTATTTTACCAGAAATTCTTAAAACTCTTTGTTCTCATCCTTTAGGGCGGCAACGGCCGCTTTGGTAGAAAAACAAAGTCATGAAATGTTGGAATTAATCAACGAAAAACGCAGTGAATACATGCAAGCTGAGTCTTTGTACCTGGACCACAATGATGGTTTCACTGAAGAGGCACAGCCTTATCCAGTACATGCACCTCCACCCGCCCCACCGGCTTTAAGTAAATTCCAAGTAAATAATTTCCCATCAAATTTCAGCACATAGCTTAATCGATACATTTTCAGGTCTATAATGATCCAGTGGAATTTTCAAATGTGGATCAGATAGCTATATCAGTTGCTCAAGAAGACCAAAAATCATTTACCGATCTAGTGAGGCTATTGGTAGGCAGATGTGGATCGGATATAGAAAAAGCTAGAACTATATTTAGGTGGATTACAGTAAAAAACCTCAATACAATGTCCTTTGATGAAAATTTGAGAGGAGACACCCCAATGGGGTTATTGAGAGGTATCAAAAATGGCACCGAGAGTTATCATGTGTTATTTAAAAGGCTTTGCAGGTAAGTGAAATTTTTATTTAATATTTCTACGGAAAATAAGCACATTTTTGCATTTTTAGCTACGCTGGATTACATTGTGTCGTAATAAAAGGCTATTCAAAATCAGCAGGATATCAACCGGGAGTGAGATTCGAAGACAATCGTTTTAGAAATTCCTGGAATGCTGTTTATGTAGCTGGAGCTTGGAGATTTGTACAGTGTAACTGGGGTGCAAGACACCTGGTTAATGCTAAGGAAGCTCCTAAAGCTGGAAATAAAGCAAAATCAGATAGCTTAAGGTAAGCCTAACATTCAGAAAAATTCTCGACCTGAAATACATTTTTTTTAGATACGAATATGATGATCATTATTTTTTGACTGACCCCAAGGAATTTATATATGAATTCTTTCCCCTGCAAGCTGAATGGCAGCTGCTCAAAAATCCAATAACTCTCCAAGAGTTTGAGGAACTTCCATTTGTGAGATCTCTGTTCTTTCGCTATGGATTATATTTTTCTGATCCTAAGACCAAAGCAGTTATGTTCACGGACTCAACAGGTATTTTGAATAATTATTACCATTTTTATGCAAGCGTATTATTCAATTCATTTCAAGGTCTGTGTTATTGGCATATGCCATTAGCAACAATTGTATATCTCATAATTAGCAAGTATGAAATTTAACAACTAAAATAGCATTTAAATTATTGCATTCTCCTTATAGTACCTATATACATATATATAATTATGATTAGTCCAGGATCTAAAATAAATTGGACTTTATGCACCTGAATGAGTTTAAATCTTTATTAAAATATCTAGCACCAAACACACCATTATATTATTTAATTTTCAGGTGCTGCTACAGTAAAAATAGCTATCCCATCACACATGCAAGGAACTCTGATTTTTCACTACAACCTCAAGTTTTATGATAGCGATGGTGATACTTTTGAGAACGTATCACTTAAAAGATTTGTCATGCAGTCTGTTGTTGGTAATACTGTAGCCTTCAGAGTCCATGCCCCTTGCAGCGGAGCCTTTTTACTAGACATTTTTGCTAATGCAGTTACACCCAAAGAATACCTAACTGGTGAACCTATGAAATTCAAAAGCGTTTGTAAATTTAAAATATGCTGCGACGATTTACAAACTGTCATGGTACCTTTGCCTGATTGTGCTAGTGGTGAATGGGGACCCACCAAGGCTACAAGATTGTTTGGGTTGGTTCCTATAACCCACCAGGTAGGAACCTTTTTTCAATATTTTTTTCAATTTGCCTAAAATTTTGTCTTTAGGATGCTCTTATCTTTGCTGGTCGTGAACTAGAGGCCCAATTCCGAATGTCACGTCAGCTAACTGATTTCATGGCGACGCTTCACAAAAACGGCGTAGAAGAGAAACGATTATCCAAATTTGTCTCTCATAATGTCACAGATGACATAGTGACTTTTAATATCAGTTTCCCAGAAGAAGGACAGTATGGGCTCGATATTTACACAAGGGAAATGGCGTCATTGCAAGACTCGCCCGGTGAAAAACATCTGCTTACCCATTGTTGCAAATACCTCATTAATTCGTCAAAACGTAATTAGGTTACCTTAAGGAGAGAATTTTATTGTGGGGTGGGATAAAAGAGGAAAACATCCCACCTTAATCTTGTGCTTTAACAGTTATTTTCTATTTTTTATATTTTCAGATGTTATCTAGTCCTAAAATTAATTTACATCTAAAAAAATAATTTATCATTAACCAAATTTACCAAAACTAAGGATTTTTGGCGACCATTGGTGCTATTTTCTGTGAGAAAATATTTGAAGAAACTAATAGGTATTTATATGTATATCACTTGAGTCAAGATTGCACAAAGTGTGTGTAACAGCATACGTGTGACAATAATGTAACACTTATCGCAAGTGTTGTAAAGAACATTTTATGTACAACTGTCGTCGCATCATCCTTATAGTAAGACAAAATGTCGGCCCTATTAGGACAACAAGTTTTATTATTATCATAAACGTGTAATGTGTATTACGTTTTTTGTTAATTTACTAAATTCTAATTGTCACTGTTAAATTAGTATCTTTGCATGACAGTTCTAGATAGAATATTATGTACCTAATTTGTAAGCCTAACATACTTGCCTTAGTAGATGACCTATTGTTTTTATCGAAACCTGCTTACTATTTCATTTTTAAAGGGTAGGTAGGTATAGTTATTATCCTAACAAGCAAGCAGAAAGTTATACTTTCCCGTACGCGACTGCTGTTGACCCGGCAAGCAGTCAAGGACGGGAAAAAAAACTTTATGCATGAGATAGGATCAAAATTTTTTCTACGACCATAGCAAAGTAGGGCACAAAGAAAATATGGGTTTTTTTATTAAACATATAAGTATTTTATAATAATCCGCATTTATTTATTATCATAGATATTGATTGTAAAAGTGCAATGAGTATTCGACGTCATTGACAAGTCGTCAGTTACAAGTGTCGTCACTGGAGACGAGGGTTCTGATCTCAGCTCTGGTACCTTTTGCGAATGACTGCTTGACATTGGAGATTTTGTGTCGATTGTCAATTTTTTTTATGTTAAAGGTTACTTTTCCGCAGTGAGTGCGGGAAAGTGACACTTTCTGAACTAAAATGAGTGCGGGAAAGTGGGTGAAATCGCACGGTCGTAGAAAAAATGTTTTTACAACTTAGATAATATGCTACTACGAAACCTTTAAAAAGAATAGATAGGTAGGTACCTAATACAAAAGTGCAATAATAACACACAAAAACGAATCTAAATAAACAAGTTTAGGAAAAAAAATATATTTTTGTAATAATACTTATTATTATGCACATGTTATGAATTTATATATTTTTGTTATGTACTTTATTATTGAATAATATTTTTTTGTAAATGGCTTTAAATTCACACATTCCACATAATTGTATTGCATTTTAAAGTAATAAAATTTATTTATTATAATCTTAGTTTGATTTTTTTAAATTATAAGAAAATCATTTATCACAAAAGGGTAAGGTACATTTCAAGAAGGTTTGTAGTTATGATGGTCATTGTACTTATGACATCGATAATGTCATAACTTGGAAAAAAAAGGTGTGTCGTAGATTCATATAAATTCAATAGCGTTGAATCTGTATTGCATTGAATGACTTCGGGTCAAGTGGGGGTAATGTAAACGGTTGTACCTACTGTACTTGACTAGAGGAAAGGGCGCCAAACTCACGTTAACCTAATATATGGTTTCCTGCCACTACCATAAAAAAAGTTCTTGTGATTGAATCTGCGCTGTGTACAATTTACCCTAATCAAAACTGAAAGTCTGCGTTCTAGTTGAGAATCGCAATCAATTAAATGTTAAGTAAATATATCATAAATATTATTTCAGATGTAAATTATCATGCGAAATATATTTTCCACTCATAGACCATTCCAGGGTGACATCATAACCGATCGGCCATATTAACTGAGGGGCAGACACAAGACAAACATAACCTGATTTAGTGTTATTTTAATGCCAACCGAGAATTTTTGAACTTGAACTATTATTTTGTGAAGATACCTTGGTTTTGCAGCGTTGTCGAGTGCTTCAATAGAGCTGAAAGGGATAAAGTGAGGTTTTTTAGGATCCCAGCAGCTGGAACTAGATAATTGCAAAAAAGGGCGAGTTACCTCACTGACCCTAGGTCTCGCATTAGGGCCCTTTGTGTCGCCTCCATTTGTTAAGGCGTATTCTCCTCCCCGGGCGTTTCCCGCAGACATCGTACCCGTACCGGCCGTACCCGTTGGATAAATTGCAGGAGAGTTCCAGGTGAGGTGCGCCTCAAATCTCAATCTGTCCATATTAGGCCAGATGTCCCCCAGTATGGCTTGCCGTTGCTGACAAAAGGTTGGGCAGTGACAAAGCACATGCTCAACCATTTCGTTTGCAGCGACGCACTATCTACACATTGGGGTCTCAACAACACCCAAGGTGTAAACTGTAAAGGTGCGTATTTAGTCTAGAGTGTCCTGAGTAAATTCCTACCAGCAGGCGGAGGTTTTCCCTCGACAACTGTATTGTCAGAGGGATCATGGGATGAGGTCCCATCAGGGCCTTCCCTGAAGCTGCTCTGGCAAGACAACAGAGTTCAACGGTGTTCTTTTATGTGCGAGTTCTTCTAGAGCCTCTAGTCTATACACTTCATACTCAGCTTTGAGTTTATTCTCGCGCTGTCAAAGGCCAACAGCACGGATTTACTATCCGTTAGAAATCGCACTCATTCGCCGTCGATTTTTTGATCGATGGCTATCTCAGCTCCCTGGATGACCGCCATCAATTCCGCCTGAAACTCCTGAAAGAAGGTGGTGTGGTCACCAAGGGAGGTACTTATGCGGAGGATCAGTTCAGGTAGGTAAGAAAACACCCGCTCCTGTTCCTCTACTGGTTTTCGATCCGTCCGTGTATATTGAGGCCGTTGGGGTAGCCTGCGCCTCACCCAACTGATAGACACTGTAGGATCTTTTTGTTATCTGTGTGGGAATCGTGCGATCCACCGCCGCACCCAGTAGGGGTGCATTTCTGCACCCTTCCAATAGTATGCGGCAGTGTCCCCCCACCCAGCTTGCGTGCTGCCACAAGCCCAAGGAGTTTAATCTGCAGGCAATCCCAGCAGCATTTAAAGAACGAGGGGATCGCCTAAACGAGTTATCAAAAAAACGACGGAGTATGTTGGTTAGATGCCTCAAAAGAGGAGATTTGACTGAAACGTTGAAACATCGTTGAAAAATGTTCGAATTTGTTCGAAACATTTTGTGATTGGGTCCTAGTACAAATTTAGGATATACTTACTAGGATAAAAGCCCAGAATGGAAAAGCCCGGATAAGCAATATTTTTATGTTCCAGAAACACCTACTTATCTATCTACTTGCTTGAATGAAAAAGCAATACCCCGAAAATATATTAAGAAGACGTCAGGACCTACTTATTCTATTGAAAACTTACAGAAGGCAGTAGAAGATGTAAAAAATTTAAGTATGACTTACCGGCAAGCTGAAGATACTTATGGGGTTCCGATTTCAGTTATTTACAGTAGAATAAAAGGGAGAAAATGTAGTAAGGAGCGTACAGGGCAAGGATGAACAGCTGTATTAAGATCAGGGGTCGAGAAAGAGATAGTAAAATGTCTCATCGAGAGATCAAATAATGGGTTATCCCTGTGACAAGGCAGAATTGTTAAAGCTTGTTGAAGAGTATATGCAATTAAATAAAAATCCGTTCAAAAATGGAATACTGAATAATGATTGGTATTACGCCTTCATGACGCGAAACCCTAATTTGTCACTATAAAAGGCTGAACAGCAAAAAAATAGAAAGGCTGCAAGAAAACCCGAGATAATATATGACTTAGATGACAATAAGTTAAAGAAGACTATTGAAGAATGCGATCTTACAGACAAAGGCGGCGCCTTTATCTTCAATGCCGATGAAAGCGGATTTTGTCTGGATCCATCACGTGTGCGTGCCATAGTCCAAAGGGAAAGCACTGTGTTGTGTTCCAGGAGGATCAGGCAGAGAATCGATCACCTTTTTAGGTTACGTAGGAGCTGATGGATCCAAACTTCCTCCTCTAGCGGATCAAGGAAGATGGACTTCAGAAAACGCATATCCAGGAACTCTATATGAGGCTTCCAAAAACGGGTGGATGGAAGAAGCACAGTTTTTTCACTGCCATGTTAGTGTAAGAATTGTAGAACATGTTATAGATAATAACATTGCACTTATCAAGTTTCCTAGTCACTTAACAGATAAGCTTCAACCATTGGATAAAACAGTTTTCGGAACAGTTAAAACGGCCTGGGACAAGAAATTAGTAGAATTTGGTAAGAAGAGCCAGATTGGGATTAGAAGTGGTCGAGGGACGAAAGAGAAATTTACCGAGTTACTGGCTGAAATATGGGACACCGCAATAACCCCCAAAAATATTAAATCTGATTTCTCTACTTGTGGCACGTAGCCATTCAATTCTACAAAATTTCCTCTTGACGATTTTAGTCCAGTTTACTTACAAGCATGAAAAATCTTGTTGGTTTTGCAACACCAGTAAAACATAGCATTGCAGAAGTTTTTAGTTCTTTAGCAAGTGCTTTGAAAGTGAAGAAAAATATTTGTAATGAAGAAAAACCTAGTGATAAGGAAAATCCAATTGAAAATCGGGAGCCCAGGTTGTTCAATGGAAAAAGTATTCACAGTTAAGACTATAAACCAAACCAAAGCAGAAGTAGAAAGGAGAAGTACACCAACGTTAAAGCAGCTGTCTTATGGCGAAGTTCTCACAACTGCAGATGTATTGCAGAGACTGAAAGAAGCAGAAGCCAAAAAAGACACTCGAAAAGGAAAAAAGGGAAAACTTAAACTTTCAGAAAATGTAAACTCCAAAAAAATTTAACTTTACCGAAATGATAAAGAATACAGTTCCAGTGATGAGGAATAGCTGGAGAATGAAGATATTGTATTAGAAAGTGAAGCTGAAGTAGACTGGCCGCCCCAAAGAAATCGAAATAGAAGAAGAAGGAACACGTAATTTTGTATAGAAGGACATAAGATCGGGAATGTTTGTGTTAGTAAAATTTAATAGGACGGCAATCTGTGTAGTACAGATATGTTTGTATCGGGTCTTCAAAAAAAAAAGCAATCAAAGATTGCTTTGATTACGAAAACGTACGTCGCATTATTGTTTCTTTATTGGTCAGGATTTTTGACATGATATTTTGACATTAAAGTTCATTGACAAAATTAAAGAAAAATATTGCTAAGACATACATTTAGAAAACCATTGGAATCTTTGATTGTTTTTTTGTGAAGACCCGTTAATATTTGGAGAGTAATAGATGATGAAGACGAAGCTGAATTAGAAATTATAGTAGTAGGTCTAAAATGCTTAGATGAATCTAGGAAAAAATTCAAACTTTAGGAAAATGATGTTTCGACAATAAACATGGAAGACATTCTATCCCTGCTTTCAATGCGAGAAGTGGTAGGATCATCTGAGAGAAACATCTTTCTTTTTCCGAAAGCAATTGATGTATAGGAATACATGTAATATATGGAAAAAATATAGCAAAATTCTCTGTATTTGACAACTACAAAATTGTTTAATTGGTAATATTTACCACAAATTTCGGTAAAAAATAAATCTCACAAATTCTAGAAAAGTTTTTATCATAATTGCAGATATTTTGACCACAATTTGTGGTAAAAATTACCTATTAAACAATTTGCAGCTGTCTTCGTAGCTGTCACTTGTGGATAATTTTATATATTTTTTGTTCATGTAGACAAATAATCACTTATCCAATATATATCCTTGAAAAATAGATGATAAGTGGTTTAAAATAAGATTAGGTAAACAAAGGGTTGAAAAGTATAAACACTCTTAAATTATGCTCGCAAAAATGGCGACCATTTGCAAAACATGTTTGGTTTCAACACGAATTAAATGTAGCGTTCAGCAGAACAATCGCAAAGCGTTTACCAACCTTTGTATCTGGTGAACGCAGCTATAATCATGCAGATTTCACCTCTCATTTTGAGGTCTTAAAACTGTTCACATTTACCCCTAGATCTGTTTACATTTACCCCAACATTAGGGTGTATACAGTGTCATTACTTAAGTGTGCAACATATGGGATTTTTTTTTAGTAATAGCACAATCAAAATACAAACAAGGCCAAAAGTTGGTGCACGTCTGATAATCATATTAAGTGCACTTAGAATGGTTGCAAGTCAAACAGCATACAGGGTAGCTCAAAAAATATCAAAATTGTAGTAATATTTACTTGAATAAAATAAAACTTTCGCACTTTAAGGAGAGTTTTTTTAATATAGGTAGCTATTATCATTAGTAATGTTTTAACTTGTTAAAAAAAAATTGCTCCATTTTAAAGTTGTGTTGAACATCATTGCAACAAACATGAATTTTGTGATTCCATAAAAAATTAAAAATCTAAGTTAATTTTACAAATATGCTTGAATTTGAACAAAGTTATGTAAAATTGATTTGATTTTAATTAATTTTTGAAAGTATTAGGGGCGGAAATACAAAATAAAAAAAATATAGAAATTATACATTTTTTTTTGAAAGAAAATAAAAAAAATCTTAGGAGGCTATCTTTTGGTATTTAGGCTCGTATTTAGGTATAACTTTTAAGGTTTAAAGTCAACCCCTATTTTCTGAACCGCTTGTGTTCAAAAATTTCAAAAAAAATATATGTTTTATGGTTATGGATATACTTTAATCCATAATTTTTTTGAGCAAATTTGACTCGCCATTTTTGAGTTATATCGCAAAAACTGAAAAAAAGTAGTTTTTCACCATTTATTTCAAAAGAATAGATGAAGTTTCCCATTATTTTTATTACGAACTACTATTGCAATTCTACACGACATATATTTTTTTCAAATTTTTTGAACTTGTAGTTTTCTCGTTAATGCAAAAATAGTTGGATATACGCCCGTAGCTACACTGTTTAGAAAAAAATCCGACGGATGAACGTTCAAAATTATTTGCGTTGGTCGAAACTACAACCCTGTTTATGTAAAACAGAATAATACTTCGAATTTCCGCCAAAAAAAGAAAAAACGTTCATCACACAATTTAACCAAATGAAGATTTCTATTTTTTTTGACAGTCAAGTTAGGGTACACTATAGGGGAGACAGCATTGACATCTCGCGTTGCTGTAATAAGCTATAGGCCTGACTTTAAACCTTAATTCCAAACAACTTTTCCCTATAATATTTTGCTGAATTTTCTAAAATAGGGGTAATTTACAGTACAGCTTTGATATTGTTTGAGCTACCCTGTATGCTGTTTGACTTGCAACCATTCTAAGTGTATGTACCTGATATGATTATCAGACATGTCACATGCACCAACTTTTAGCCTTTGTTTGTATTTGGGTTGTGCTAGTACTAAAAAAAATCCCCATATGTTGCACACTTAAAAAATCACACTGTATAGTAAATACATATGGGGTAAATGTAAACAAGCAGGAGCATGTACTTCTGTAAATACATAAGTTCTTCAACCTTTCCATATGTTAACATACATACCTTTTTAATAAGGGCCACTAGTGAACAAATCAGTTAAATGAGATGCTTTATCTTTATCAGAGAAAATTCTAAAAGTGTTTACCTACATTTCCCCCACTTGACCCTCTGGTTTTAAGAACCGACGAACGTTTTTGACGTCATTAATTTAATTTGTTTCAGTCAATTTTTATTTGTTAAAAAAGGAAGTCAAAAGTACAAACCCTCATGAAACAAACAGTATACTTAGGTATATAACAGTCGATTGAAATATTGCAATGTTTCAGCCATTTAGGCCGTGTTTATTCACCTTCTGATGAACTCTCAGTTAATGCAAGCAATCTGACAGAAAGGAACACAATATATTATGATCCCATTGGTCAGTCGGATACTAGTTTGGTATATTAGTCTTAAAGATAAATATTAGCAAGTTTATCGGAAGATTAATAATCCGAGGGTGGATAATTTAAATTGAACTTCATCAAGATATGGCAGAAAAAAAAGGAATTGGATAGAGACATTCCCATAAACATTTAAAACTTAGCTTTAAGTTTTCGTACGGCCATTCAACGCAGAACTGCACCTACTGGACTCAACATTGTCTATAATAGAAGTCAACATTCCTTCAACTTCCGTTACAGCATATTTCAAATTGAAATTATCCATATTAAAGGAATCTTCTAGGGAAAAATTGTTTGCCAATATTTGTTGCAGCCTTGCCAATGCTTCATCCAAATCATTTTGCAGTAATTTCACTGGAGATTTAGAAATAGCTGATTTTGGTTGTTCTGATATAGGAGGTGTATTATATCCTGAAAAAATCTTCTGTAAAACTGGAATATCATGAAAAGGAATATAGTTTTACCTTTGTAATAATAATTAAAACGTTTATTTTTTGCCTCAAGGTTCTCTTCAATTGAAGCCACAACAGCAGTTGTTATAGGACTTCCATAATATTTTATATCTGAATTTTCATCCTTTCCATCAACCTTATTAGGCTGTTGCATTGGAGTGGAATGAATATCATGGCTTATTGGGTACTGCACCAAAGTGCGCTCTTGATTGTTGATTTGGTTCTGGAAAAAAATATTAATTAGCCTCAAAATGCAATGATTCTTACAAACCAAAATGGTACCCACCTTGAGAAACTTCAATTTTTTTATATTCCCGGCCATAAAATATCTATACTCTTCCAAATACTTCCTCAAATCCTTTTCATTGTAATTTCCAAATATTAGCATTTGTTGCAATTCTCTATTTTGAGATTCCAGCTGCCTTATAACAGTCTGGAGTTGTATTTCTGGAGCTGACAAAGGCAGCACTTCACACAAAACATCACTTGAATGATGTTTTATATTTTCGACTCCCATCTGCCTGGCAGGCTTGACTATAGAATAGTTCCTGTCTGCATATTTTGGACAAAATACACCAGTTATTTTACTCATAAATCCATTATTGCCCTTATTCGCACTAGCACCATGATACTCCCTCAAAGAATGAGATAGCTTATGAGAATGACTTATTCTTCCAGTTAGGAAGCACCTCTGACATTGAGTATACCTCAAACATTTAACACAACGATATCTCAATCCTAATATTGGTCTTGTATTGCATGTAGTGCATTTTGTAGAATGTATTATGGTTTCTGCACTTTTAAGCTTCAATATTAAAGGCATCCAAGATAAGAATGGTATATCCAAATCAAACCAACAAAGAAAGTTATTTTCTGTAATCCCAACTAAACCAGGAAAGTCTTGAAAGCAATTTTCAACTGCTAAGTGCAACGATTTATCCCCAAATGAAGTATCTTCATGTACATATTTTATTATTTCAAGAATTTTGTTTAGTAATCCTTGTAATCTAATTCTAGTTATGCAATTATTATGATCTGTGTATAATAAAAATAAGTATTTGTGAAGTTCACTTGGAGAGCCATGGCATAGGAGCCCTAATAGGATTTTCACTGAGACTACTTGAATTTTTCCGTCACGGTTACAATCAAAAACGTTATACAAAAAATTAATCAGAATCTCTGTTGCAAAATCAACATCAATATTTGTATGGTTTTGCTTGTTGGCTGCAAAATATATGTCTGAAAGTAATGCTTCTAAATCACATGTTTCCAATGTTAACGAGCCTTCATTCTTGCACATTCTATGTTTCGCAAATGTCGACGATATTATGGATAAAGGGACTTCTTCGACGTACAAGCATCTCTGTAGGACTCGAAATTTTGAAGCCAGTCTGTATTTTGCATAGGCTATATAGTTGCAATCGTCAATAGCCTGTTTGATGTCAGCAAATTTTGGGTGATCCCATTGATGGGTATTTGAGGATTCACTAAAATAAAAAAAAGTATTGGATTTGATTGAAGGTGAAATACACCTTGTTTTAGGTATGTAAGTAGGAGGGTACCTTGGATCTACTGCTACCATTTGGTGCAAATTGCAAGTAGACTGGTTGTAATACATAGTAGGTACTATTTAATTAAAGTTAAGAGGCATACATTATTAAAAATATATATATATATATATATTCTTACTCTAAATAGCATACAAATCCTCTTTCATCTTCGATCCTTTTCCAGCTTCCCATTTCAATACTTTAAATTCATCAAAACTACAACCTGCTCATGCGAATAATAATCCCAAAATGGTTTCTCACTGTTCTGTGGAATTATTCTATTTTATTCTAATTGCTTTTAACATTCCTTTAATTGTTTAATTTCACATAATAGAGAAAAAGTTTGGTTTAACAATTTCAGATTTCCGGTAGGAGTGTTTTTGTTTACAGTATATTTTACATTGAGTTTAAATGATAACTGACAAACTGACATTACTAAAGTTTTCTTGTTTTATTGGTAGTGGCTTTCGGTACCAACCAGTACTACCCGTGCTGCTCTTTGATGAGAACTGCGGACAGAGAATTGGTGGTAGGTAGTGTAGAGTGTAGGTACCTGCTAGGCCCAGCGTGAGTTTACTCTTGTCTTGCAATTGTTTAAGAAAGATGATGGTAGATGGTACGATGGTAGCTTGGAGGTCTTTACGCTCAAGTTCTTTAAAATCCTGTACAGGGTGTCCGTTTAAAGTGATACAACTATTACTAATATCTCCAAAACGGTAAGAGGGACGAGGTCGGTTGAACTGGAAAATGGAAAAAATGCCTAACGTATTTAATGTATACAGGGTGTCCTAGCCGAGAGTGACCCATTTAAAATGCTTATAATGATATTTGTGGGTTTTTATAGCTCGATTAAAACACAGTTTGCTGTTATTTTAATAACTTTAATCTTAGGAAAAACGTGAACAAGAATCAACGACACTTTCGCTTTCTATATAATACAAAAACCCCAACTCGCTTGGCAACACAGCAAAAGCTGTCATGTGTAATTTACAAGTGGTGCCATCTATTGACGAGAGGCCAAAGCTAAGTAATAACAGGTTTCAGTACAGGTTATATGTGAGAAGGAATCCGTAACACTCCCCCTCAATTTAAATGTCAATACAATAATTATATACTTACATTACAAAACAAAACAAAATTTATATGAATATGAATAAATCATGGAATAAATCAATACACTAACATTACATACATTAACATTGTTACATTATTTAATTTAAAAATGAAAAATAAAAGAAACTCAAATAAATACATTTAAATTGTTAATAAGTACCTAGTTATTATAAGGTGTACAAAGTTGAAATAAAGAAATTATCATATTTATTAACTTATGCATACAAAAAAAAATTATACTCAAATATGCTGATAAATCCAGATTGAAAGAAAATTATTGTTTTAAAAGCATAGACCGAAAACAATGAAATTTTGCTTTCCCCAATGCCTTTGTTAATATATCAGCACAGTTTTCCTTAGAACTGATGTAAGAAATGGATAACTGTTTTTTCATGCAAAGATCCTTAATAAAATGATATTTAATTTCAATGTGTTTGCTTCTTTTAGAGTTAACAAAACTTTTTATCATTGAAATTGCACTGAGGTTATCAATTTTCAAAATCACTTGATTAGACTCACCATACTCTGATAAAAGTCCCTTCAGGTTCATCAGTTCTTGAGCTGCAAAACCAGCTGCAACATATTCAGCCTCCATTGATGACTGTGCCACACAGCCCTGTTTTCTTGAGTGCCATGCAATCAAATTGCCTGCATGGAAACAAACAAAGCCACTGACACTTTTCCTAGTCATTCGGTCACCACCCCAATCTGCGTCGCACATGGACTCGATACCACCTTCGCCTTTCTTGTAAAATAAACCAAATGTTTTTGTGGAATTCAAATAGCGTAAAATGCGCTTCCCTGCATTCCAAGCTGACATAGTAGGCTTGTCTAGGAATCTACTCAGATACGAGACGCTGTAGGAAATGTCTGGTCTACTTACAAGAGAAATATACATAAGGCTGCATATTAGTCTCCTATATGGAAGCTCTTCGGATACTATAGGCTCATCTGGATCGATTTGAAAATTTATTTCCATTGGGGTAGATATTGGTCGAGTTTCTCCCATGTTAAACTCTTTCAACAGTCTTGATATCATCTTTGTTTGGGTAATTTTAAATCCATGGTCTGTGTTGTACAATTCCATTCCTAAAAATGAAGTTACTTTGGTTATGTTTTTGATTTTGAATTCTCTGTATAGATCTTCAATCAGTCCGTTTACTTGTACATCTGGACCTGTTATTAACGCATCATCCACAAATAAAACCAGGTATACTTCGTTTTTGAAATAAAAACAGAAGTCATACTGTGACCTTTGGAACTTTAGGTCAAGCATGACTTCATTGAATCTTATATTCCAGCATTTTGGTGCAGTTCTTAACCCATACAAAGCACGATTTAGTTTCTGGTATTTTGAGCCACTTTCAATACCTTCTGGTGTTTTAATATAAACATTTCTGTCCAAGGCTCCATTCAGAAATGCTGTTGGTACATCAATTTGTTGAATTTTCCAGTTTTTTTGTACCGATATAGAGAATAACAATCGGATTGTTTGCAATCTACAAACTGGAGCATAGGAAAACTCTTCACCTGTATTTGGCAACTGAAATCCTCTAGCAACCAAACGAGCCTTTTTAGATCCATCATCTTTTTGTTTGAAGACCCATTTTGTGTCTATTGCTAGTTCCCCTTCAGGCAATTTTTCACATGCACTCCATGTTTGTAGTTTTATGTGTGATTGTATTTCGCTATTTATAGCCTGTTGCCAACTTTGAAGTTCTTTTGCCTGTTTGTATGTTTTAGGTTCATCATTGCTTTCAGTGAGTAGACAGTATGCTTGATATATTTCATAGTCTTCAAGATGTTTTGGTTGTGTTACTTGTCTTCCAGACCTGGTAAAAATTTCTTCATTATCTTCACTTGAACTACCACTATGACTTTCTTGTTCGTCTTCCCTTTCTTCTTCTCTTTCTGGTGCTTCAGGTTGATTGTCTTCTTGTGTTCTATTGTGTTCATCTTCTCCCATTTCTTCTATGGACTGTATTTTTATATCTGAGGTACTGGTCTCTTTTTCAAGCTTATATTCCATAACTGTTTCATCGAATCGGACATCACGTGACTTAATAATTTTATCTTGCTCAGGTAAGTACAACCGGTAGCCTCCACCACAGTAACCAACCATTACTGCTCTTCTTGCCTTTGGGCTAAGTTTATCCTGTTTTGGCAACACTGTAAACCATGTTCTGCACCCAAAAATTTTAAGCTTGCTAATATCATTTCTTTTATGCCACAATTTTGATGGAGTTTCTCCTTTTGGAAGTGCAGTAGTGGGGGTACGGTTTAGTTCATATGCTGAACATCTTAACGCTTCACCCCAGAGTTTCTTTGGCATTCCTGAGTCTATAATTTTTGTCCTGATCATATTAAGTAAAGTTCTGTTTAGTCTTTCTGACTTCCCATTCATCTGAGGAGAGTATGCCATGGTGTATTCAAGTTTTATACCCTTTTGTTTACAAAAAATTTGGAAAATTTTGGATGTGAATTCTCCACCATTGTCTAGCCGTATACGTCTAACTTTAGAGGCATGTTGGGTTTCTAGCTCAGCTATATATTCTTTTAGATTGTCTTCTGCTTCGTTTTTATTATGTAAAATCTTGACAACAACAAAATGTGAATAGTCATCCAGGATTACTTGGAAATACTTTCCACCATCCATTGTTATTGGTGAAATAGGTCCACATATGTCGCTGTGGATTAGTTCTCCTAAGGCCTGTGCTTTTCTTACATTTGGTTTAAAGGGAGATCTTGTCGCCTTTGCTTCAATGCAAGTTGTGCAAACTTTCTCAGATGTCTTTAGCCCAAGTTGAGCCAGTGCATCTTTACCAGCATGCCCAAACCTCCTATGCCACAGATCATTGTTGCAGGTAACATTACAGTGCTCTTCTTTCATTATACTGTCTGCAGAAAGTACATAGAGTCCCCTTTGATTCTGACACACCAATGAAAAATTTCTTCCACTAATTGTAGTTTTATTGCTTTCAACTAATATTTGGTGACCTCTCGAAGTTAATTTAGAAGCAGATAAAAGATTATGTTTAATATTTGGTACAATAAGTGCCTCAATATTTACAGGATGACCTTGAATTTTCAATTTCAAAGTACCAAGTTTATTTGTTTTCAACACTTCACCGTTTGCGATGTGAATACACACAGGAATACTTAATATTTTAATGTCAGTCATATAATTGGCTAAGCTTTCTTGTACAAAATGATTGCTGGCGCCAGAGTCTAGAACAAAACATATTTTGTCACTTACTGCCACAGACTTATCTTCGGTTGAAATATTTGCCCCTTCGCAAGCAGCGTAGAGGAGAATAGCTTCTTCTTCTGCAGTTGCAGTATTGGCCTGATATTTATAATTGCCCCGACCGCCAGATCTATATCCACGTCCTCTTCCTCTTCTTCTTGGAAACGAGCCCCTATTTGAATGTTGTTGGGAGTGGGACTGAGAGCCAGATTGAAAGGTATTTTTTCTAGGACATGAAGCTTGGAAATGTTGTGGACTTCCACAAATGTAACAGCACTTTGAAGACGCAGCATTGAAGCTTACTTCATTTATCTGCTTATTTGAGTTATCAAACTTTGAATTTAACTTATTTTCCTCATCGAGGAGCCGAGCTTTGACGAAATCAATTTTGACATTTGACACAGTTTCCAAAGCTGTTACAACAGTGTCATATTTTGATGGTAATGCTAGCAAGAGATGACACACCTTGTCCCCTTCATCAATATTTGATCCAAGTTCTTTTAATTCCCTAATTATAGTGTCAAATTTCAAGAACAAGTCTTCTAGTTTTTCTTCTGAGCCTGACTGTAATTGTATGAGTTTTCTCCACAATGAAAGTTTGGTGAAGGTACTGGTTCTTACAAAGACTTCTTTCAAAGCATGTATTTGTTGTTTGGCTGTGACACAATCCTTTATTATGTCTAGATGTTTATCAGACACACCTTGGACTATTATTG